CTACCCATTTTTGAGAGATGTGGAAAAATTTCAAATGCAATTAATTTTTGAAACATTAATTATAATTGATTGGTAATAGTAAAATTTAAAACTTGGTTGCTTTATCTGTTATATTTCATCATGTAAAAGTTTAAGTTTTGGGTAAGGGAGAGACAGTTTACGTTCACTTCGTGGAAGAGATTTAGCGAGTAAAAGCATCTAATGAGCCTTGTTTCTATGAACGCTCTGTGCGGTATCTAATGTATGGCTAATTTTAGTCAAAACGATATTTAGATATTTATGTCCAGAATATGTTAAGAGTAATAAAACACAAACCGGTGTATCGCCTTTTGTAGCACTAAAAAATTCTGTAACGTTCTGCGATGTTTAGTTTGATCAAACGTGAGGTCACTTATAATTTTTCATCGAAGAGAAATCCGATTTTTTTTTTGGCCAGAAAATGAAGAGACAGAAGGTAGTTACTAGCGCGAAACACTTTCTGGTTTTTTCTACAATTTGCTTGTTTATGATAATAATCTCTAATCTCACAACCGAAGTCGTTCTATTAATCCAACATGAGTTGCGGCAAGTGAGGAGTTGCTGTTAAGCTATTTTGTTTAACTCTTACATTCGATCTTCTTAAAATTGACGCCAAAATGTTAGCCTTGGTAAAAATTCAGGACTTCGAACATCCGTTCGAATTCTCAGCCATTTAATGCAGCATCTCTTCTGACCTTGTAAAGGTTATCGAGAAACCTTTCGTTTTCACACATTTTTGTTATTAGAAAGAAGAGTGTGGAGATTTGTTTTTGTTATCAGTTGTGTCCTAGAAAGCTCATCGCAAATGTCTGATCATACATGATCTCTTGGACATGCACAAAAGCGCAGTTGCACTTTGCAATCGCACGTCTTTTAGAAATGAGTCCCAAATATAAGGCGCTCGAACTTTGCGTGAGAATAGCAGCGAACTTCCTGTTTGATCCGGTTTTTGAAAATCACATTGCAATGTGAATTGCAGAAACATTCTCAAACACTAAATGTTCATCTCCACATCTCTTACCTTCTAGCTTCTTTAGTCATGACAGAAAGGGCGCATCCCTCAAAACTTTTGTTAATCCATCTTCACGGCGATTGTTAGACAATTTCATGTCTCAATCTACTACTATTCGATGTCTTTTGCAATATAAAAACTGAACAGAGGAAAAAACGATTTGAAAACATTTGAACAGTTAAACCTACTTTCTGAGTAGCCATTCCCCAACGTAACCGGTGCAAGATGAATTTACTGGTATTGTGGTCTTTAAAAGTTTGAACTGTTTCTAAATCAAATTGACCAACTACTTCTTTGTAGTTGTCCTTTCGTATACTCTGATTTTGCCATTATATCAACACGTCCTTACTGAGATTCATCAAATTTGCAATCAATTGCAGATGTCTCGAAGACGAGCTTCCGATTTCGCACACAACTTTTTTCGATCTATAATCCATCGTTTTCAAAAACATGAAACCAAGCGCTCTTTATCTACGGGAGATCTCGCTGATAACTACATGTTAATGGATTTCTCAGAGCCGACTACGGTATGGAACTTCACATAAACTGCTTCGACTCACCAATTGTAACTAAGTGGTTTTTTTCAGAGTATGCTACCTAGTCATTTTGATGATAGCGATCGCGTACCCATGGTATTTTCGGAGTCTTTACACCCACGCCTTATGTCGCAGCATGACTATTCTGCCCAGAAACTAGTACGACGAGGAAGTGAAGCGGATTGTGATTGTTGTTAGTTTACCGTACTTCTTGAAAAAAAAAATCCAAGCAAAACGTATAATTCTTTTCAGTCTCCACAGCCGACTACAACCGATCCCAAGTGTGGTTCTATCAAGGCATGAATTCTAAAAAAGCGGAAAGATTGTTGCAAAGTTTTGGATTTGAAGAGGGGTTAGTTGAACAGTGTTAAATTAGTACGAGTGTAATTGCTGATTTTTAGATCCTTTGTGATTTCACAACAATCGCTACAGTATATTCTATC